CTACTACTCTCTCTCTCTCTCTCTCTCTCTCTCTCTCTCTCTCTCTCTCTCTCTCTCTCTCTCTCTCTCTCTCTCTCTCTCTCTCTCTCTCTCTCTCTCTCTCTGCTGAGTCTTTCTCTAGGCACATCTCGCGCGAATGTCATTCTGCGGACTGACAACGAGGACGCGACCGCGAGACCTCGCTTTTTTTCGCTACGCCCGAAGGATTTCATTCCATTTGTTTCTTATTTTGTTTCACCCGGTATTCAGTCACTCGTAACTGACGTGAGTCTGGAACGCGAAATATAATCTACCCGATGTGACGCGATCAATTCTCGAATTATTTAATTTCATTGATCAAAATTTTTTCAAAAGGATACACGAATTTTAATTGTGATGTAAGGAATTTTATTCGATAATACAATTTTTTTCATTAAACTAAAATCGACTTTTTTCTTATTTGAGGGTCGCTTACGATATTAAATCGTAAAGGATTTAACTGTGGGATATATAGTTTGATGTCTGAGTAGATTTGAAATCGTCGCACGCAAAGGATTAAATCCGCAACGCTATCTGCGGTGCATCTTCTCTGAACGACGATACAAAAGGATTATATGTAGAGTGGCCGGATGCGTCGGGACGGATCCTTGAGCTATCGCATGCGTAATGTCTTCATTCAGCTCGACTCCTATCATAATCTCCCGATGATGAACGAGCGCCCTTTATGCGAGGACGCAGAACGGAGCGAGATTAAACGAAGAGTCATCAATAGGCCGGTCGCATTAAACGGCCTGCCGTGTGCCCGCCGTGGAAAAATCGGAACGAGTCAATTAGTCGCACTCTACCTGTCCAATCTGTCACAATATACAAAACTTTGTCTTTCTCTCTTTTTGCCCTCCCTTTCGCTTTACTCTCCCTCCCCCCCCCCCTCCCCCTCCTCCCCCGAGATGCCTGCCTCTCCTTTCTTCCTTCTCGCTATTCCGGATCACGTGCCGCGGGCGAGATAACTCGGCGGAGCTCTCTGGCCACGTTTTACGGCGCGCTTTAACAAATAGCGTGTCACTGAATGTATCGCCGTGCTGCACGATACTATCGCGTCGACGTCGACGTCGACAAAAATTAAGCGCTGCGATTATTCATGAATGTCCCGCGATCGCGGCCGCGACGTAAAAAACTCCGCCGGCTCGCTCGGCTGCTAGCTTTCGGTAGCCGAGTTTTGCGTAAGTAAGCCGCACGTTCGAGTCCTTATAAACGCAACCGTCGCCGATGATACCGGCGATACGTATCTGCCATGCATGTAAGATCGATGCGCGTCGACTAAAGCCCATGATCAAAATTGCAGGGAGAGACCAAGGAGAGATAATCTTCGATTTTAATCTTCCGCAATTAAAAGTATTATCCCTTTACACGTTGCATGTAATAATTTGCCGAGAGTGAAATTTTGGATTTTTGCAATCTCGCCGAGCACGCGCCTCTTTCTCTCGGACACGCTGTACCGCGTCGCGCCGCATATTATCCTTAAATATCCCCCGACAGGGCGTCCGACCTCTGCGTCGCGCAATTAAAGCGATCGCGAGCGATCTGCCGGCCGAACGATGTCGCGACACGCGTGCGTGCACACGCGTACCCGCCGCTAAAGTGCACGCGTGACATAATCGGCCGCGACGCGGGGCGAAAACAGATCGACCACGGCCGGCTGACAAACGCAGAATGCGGCGGAGTAGTCGCGCCTTGTGTGTCCGCGATGTGCCTCGCTTGTTGCAGCAGCCGCCGCAGCGTTGGAATCCCCGTTAGATGACGGGGAGAGGATATACCCTGTCGTGTCGCGCCCGGCCTCTCTCCAATGCATACTAAGTAGTTCTGGAAAATCAGTTGTCGGTAGCTCGTAGTCCGCCGAGTCCGAGCGAAGGAATTGAATGAATCAGCCTATCCTGGCCTTGCAGCCTGTTTGCCAGTTCGCGAGCGCACGTACGTATTGCGTATCTGTACGCGTGGTACCAGCCACCTCCTCCTCGTCACCAACACGCTTTTGTTGCGCTACAGCACGTTACAACTTACGCAAGTTCGCGGTTACATAAAAACCTCGGGTCCTTTGCGTTTCTTAGAACCGCACCTTAAATTAAAAGGAGTGTATAGAAAAAGATATTTTTCTACTGTTCCGATTACTGTATAACCCGATTATATTTTATTACATTATCTCTTTGAAATCTCTTTTCATCAAAATTTATTAGTTTTTTGTGTTCGTTTATCCAAATAATTGCATTTGAAAAAATTCAGAATGGTCGATATCGTATATGCGTTTTCGTATATGTATACTTATAATTTACATTGGTGATTGCATATAGTTGCATTACTGCGAGCTCCTCCGTGATGGGAGGGGCTCCAGGGGGATAGAGTGTAACGAGAGGAGAGGAAAGTCACGATGGAAGAAGGAGAGGAGAGAAGGAGGAGGAGAGGAGAGTACGTTGGCGTCGCCTGGAATGCCCGCGGACCACGAGCAGTGCCGATACGACGGGTTTACCTTTTACAGCCTACCTACCGGTCGTTTCATTCCGACTCTGCGCACCTTCATCGTCTCCGCGCGTTATATATCTCCCCATCCCCCCCCCCTTCGTCCCGTTGCATCGCCGCTTTCACTGCCTTAAAAATGAATCTCCTCTTCGCAACATACGCAACTCTTCGATACCATATGTACTTCGATTAATTTAATTATTGGCCGCCACCTGCTGTCAATATGTAAGGAGGAGACTTAATTAAAGAGGATTTATATTAAAGGGATGTTATACCTCCTCGTTTCACGACGGCCTACGAGAGATGAATTGCGTCTCTCCGGGGATTATATTGCATTTGTATAGCTCAATCTTTAACGAATGGCTCATGATTAGATAGCAAATTTAAGAAACATGTCATTAGTAATTAGCGTATATTTCATTTCATTTAATTTTAAGGAAAAGATACGCGCCTATTATCAAAATATAAAGAGACGGCTTAATTATAAATTTATTCGGAAAGAAGCAGAAAGTCTTCTTTTAAAAACAATATTTAGTACAATACTTTAGTACAATACTTTCTCAATATATCTAAGATTTTCATTTTTTATATATTTTTTTTTATATTCTGGCTCACTTACGTCATACTTTTCGTGTCGAATCGATGAGAAATAATGACAACTTTGGAAAATCTCGGTGATCGTGGGTTGCGGAATTTGGCGCAACGAGATGCGACATTAATGAAACGTGATTAAGTAACATTGTCGTTCGTTCTTCG